AAAAAAAAAAAAAAAAAAAAAGCTGAGCTCCAAAGGCTCCACTTCTTCTCAGTGATACAGCCACCAGGTTTCCCAAGGACTTGTTCTTATCAAATCTTTCTGTCTTGTAGTTCCTCACTGCACGGCATAACATGCAGTGAATAGGCTGTGTGTCGATGATAATAACATGTAGCTACTGAAAAAAAGAAGACAAAGGGCTGAGAGGAGGAAAGCTTAGTAAGCTTCTTACACTAGATGCAGAATGCTTAAGCAATGCAAGCAATGGAATCCCTAAGGTCTTCCAGGAGGCGCAAGATGGGGGCTTCAGGAAAAACAGCCACGCTCAGACACGAGAACTCCAGGAATACGTTCGCAACTCTCATAAGACCAGGGCCTGCAGCTTGGACTGCTGCAGGCTCCACAGGACACAGAGCTGCTCCAACAGGGCCATCAGTCAAGAAGCACTGTGGTCTGCAATTCTCAGGGGTGGCTCGCCATTCATCTGATTTTCTTTCTTTTTTTTTTTTTTTTTTTTTTTTTGAGACAGGATCTTGATATATTGTCCAGGCTGGCCTCAAACTCACTGCAATCCTCCTGCCTCGACCTCCCAAGTACTGGGATAACAGGTGTGCACCACGATGCCCTGCATTTTTTTTTGGTACCAGGGATGGAACTCAGGTCCTTGTGCAAGGCAGGCAGTGGAAACACTGAGCTAAGTCCCCAGCCCATGCCCAGTCTCTCCATCCATCTGAAAAGGAGCAAACTCCAAGGAAGCCAAACACCCAATTTCAGTGCTTCCTGAATTCAGGACACAATTCTCTCTTGTGCTATTTTAGAAGTTCATTTGAGAGGTCCAAAAAGAGATGATATTGGCCACATCAAGAGACCCCAAATATTTTCTATCCCCATTTTCTGGACCTGGTCATGCTTTGATTAATATCTGGTTTATGGACTTCGCACAAGTGTTACCCACTTATTTTACTGACCCTACAATCCCTATATAACCCCAAACCTCCCAAAATGTTAACCAAATCCCTCATGATTTCTTCTCGTAACACAGCAACTTACCTATTACCTTGATGCTCAAGACCTCACTGGACACAGCAGGGAAGGAATGACAGTTATCTGCGATGCACTTGTATTCCACATCTTTGGTTGGATTATCCTGGAATACCGCAGGATCATTTGAGCTCTTTGTAATATTCTCTAAAACATCACTTCCTTTTAGAAGGTAATAAGTAATAGGTGCAGTTCCATTTAGTGATTGGCAACTGACTCTTACGGCCTGTCCTTTTATGATCTCGGGCTTGGTGTCATGAAAAATCCTGGGCTCGGAGATATTTTCTAGAACAAGAGAGAGAGAGAGAGAGAGAGAGAGAGAGATAGAGAATGACCCAAATGGCAACACAGCAATGCATCCAGCCGGGGAGCTTCCTTCTCCAAACTCCAGTCTTTTGTTTCTGTCACCATGGATAATTTGAAATTCCTGTTGCCCTTGGAGTGTGTGTGTGTGTGTGTGTGTGTGTGTGTGTGTGTGTGCGTGCACATGCGAGCATGCACATGCATGTATGTATAATGATGGAGAGGGAAAGAGAATCGTTAGGGCGGGTAGGGGTGTGGCTCAGTGGTGGAACATTTGCATGTACGAAGCCCTTCGGTCTCCAGCACTACTACCACCACCACAAAAAGCCCAAACCAAACCAAACCAAACAATGCTGGGGATGTACCTCATTGTGAAGGCCCTGGATTCAATACCCAGAGCACAGCCCCTGCCCCACTACACACACCCAAGGAATGTAGGCAAAATAAGGAGTGACAGAATTTCAAGGAAATCACTACATCCCCATAAACACATGTTTATATTTTAATATAATTCACTCCCACGTACACATATACTTTTTGTACGTTGAGCAAAAGCATAAGAAAAGTATATATAGCAAGGATTCGAACAGGGTATGTCTGGGAATAAACTCTTGGGCACTGGGTTGGGTGGTACACACCTATCATCTCAGCTACTGCAGAGGCTGAGGCAAGAGCAGCACACTCAAGGCTAGCACCGGCAACTTAGTGAGATCTTGTCTCAAAATTTAAAAAAAAAATTTTTTTTAAAGAGAGGGCTGTGAATGGAGCTCAGCCCTGAGGCCCCCAGGTACCGAGAAAAAAAAGGAAGGAAGGAAGAAAGAAGAGGGGAGAGGAGGGGAAGAGAAGGGAAGGGGAGGGAGGGGCGGGGAAAAGAATCAGAGACAGTGACTTCCCAGAGGCTCCTTGTTCACTTAGGACCTGGATACTCAGTGTGGCTCAGCATCACAGAATTAGCATCACCAAGTAGACCTTGCAGGAGCAGAGCCTGGGCCAGGCTCTCTACCTGGCCAACGGAAATAGAACCTGTGTTTACCAGGTCTTCTATGCACATTCAAGTCTGGGAAGCTGGCTTTCCATTCCACGCACTGGAAGTCCTACCCCTTCTGCTTAGCTAGGAGATGCATAAAAACTAGCATTTAGATTTTTTAAAAATGAATTTTAAGGGCCAGGGATTTAGCTCAGCAGTTCGGTGGCCTGCCTCGCAAGTGCAAGGACCCGAGTTCAATCCCCGGTACCAAAAAAACAGAATTAAAAAATTTTTTTTGATTTTTTTTGAGGTAGGGTCTCACTATGTAGTTGAGACTGACCTGGGACTCACTGTGTAGCCCAGGCTGGTCTCGAACTCACAGCGATCCTACTGCCTCAGCCTTCCGAGTGCTGGGATTACAGGCATGGGCCACCACGCCCAGCCTTGTTCATTTGGTTTCTTAAAAAAAAAAATCTATTTTGCAGTACTGGGGATTTGCACTGAGCTACCTCATCATCCCTTTAAAATTTTTTTATTTTGATATAGGGTCTTCCCCCAAGTTCCTGAGACATACAGGCTAGGCTGGAATTCATAGTCCTCTGCCCCGGACTCTCAGGGTGCTGGGATGACAAGTGTGCACCACTACACCTGGCTGAATCCCCGAGCTTGATCTTGGAGAGCCTCTCTGCTGTGCTCTGAGAAGGAGAACCACTTGCTCTGTCTGCATCTCCATTCCTCACACTTCCTTCCCTCAAGTTCTTGCCCAGCCTGAGCCTGATCTCCTTCAGACTGGCGAGGGTGGCACCAGGGACCTGCTTCCTCCCTCGCACTCGCCCCAGGGCCTCCCCGAGCCAGCGAGGACGTACCACACACTGTGATCTGGACGGCATTGCTTTTCTTGATCACTTTGCCAATGGCCGCGGTGCAGGCGTAGGTCCCGCTATCCCGCCCTTCCGTGGTCTTGGTGAAATTCTGGCCCTGTGACACGATCGTGCCTTCCTTCTCGATGGTGAAGTTGGCTGCAGGGGCTCCTGGGATGGAGCACAGCAGGTCCACCTTCTCACCTTGGTCCACAAGGGTGGAGGAAAACTCCAGCATTGGCTTGGGAAACAGTTCTGGAAGACACAAGTAGGAAGGGGAGAAGATGCGCCTGGGAACCAACTCAGCCGCCTGCCTGGAGAGCTCCAGGCCCAGCTCCTGCGGGGAGAATCAGTTCCCACCTTCCTGCCAGCAGGCTTCTCTGAACCTCAGGGACCCGAGGAGCGCAGCCTTCAAGAGCTGTGGCTCTCTGTGTGCCCGGGTCCCGGGGAGAGCTCCCGCCTGCCTGATGAACCAGTTTATTTCCCAGAAAAGTTCTGTAACTTGTCAAGCAGCAAGCATCGGTTCATTCACGCGTTGGTTCATCTATTTGTTCACTCACACGTTGCACCTCACAAACACTGCAGATGATTTCTGTGCCAGGCATCTTGCTCTGCATGGGGGAAATAGTCCTGGACTTCAAGTGCTTATGTCTAGCGAGTGATTCAGACGTGGTGTGAGTAGCAAGGCCCACACAAGGGACCCTGAACTTCACCTTGGAGGCCTGAAAGGCTCCTTGCAGGAAGTCACCCAGGCGGGGGCAGTGGCCGAGGCCGCTCGCCTTAGTCTGTTGTGCTTGTGCTGTAATGAACTGCCGTAGACTGGTTTGTTTGTGTCTGTGAAGTCCTTAAAGGCAAAGCTTGGTCTCAGATAGTTCTCTATCCCCAATAACTTGCCCAGCATACAGAAGGTGTTCAATATACACTGAATTAATATTTTTCCCTTGTAAGACATTATTAATAGTATCAGTGAAAAATATCCCGGGCCGTCAACATACGAGTCATTAGCAATCATTCACTAAATTGCTAGCACGCACTGTGAGTCAGCAGGATTTAACATATCTTCCCCCCACCCCTCGGAAAGTTGGCCGCGGATCTACCTATGACACCAGGACTGTGACCGGGATTGCATAGTCAGTGATAGAACACTCTCCCCAAGAGTCCCTGAAGAGGACTCTCTAAGACAGGTTGTGTGTCTATTTTAAGTACTAAGTTATTTAGAGAGTAATAAAGCCAGGTAAGGGAGTAGAAGGCAGAGAGAACTTTTAACTACCTAGGTGTGGACAGCACACAGGCCTGAGGATGGCTTCTGTTCTGCCATGCAGCGACCTTGCCATCCTTAGGTAAGTTACTAACTTCCCAGCCTCAATTTCTACAACTGTAAAATGGGTATGAAAAGATCTGCCTCTGAGAGTTTTAGGAACATGAGATTAAAAAAAATGCATATAAATCTTTGTACAGTGTCCAGCAGCGGAGAACCATCACGATTTTTTCGTTTCCTTGCTTTCTTTTCATCCCCAACCCTGTCTCACAGGGCCTGCGTGCGGGATCTAACGCAGTGCTTGGCACCGAGGGCTCGTTCCGTACAGACACTGCGCTGACACCTCACTTGATCATGACAGCAGCCCCGTGACCTGAGCACCATCACCACCCCGTCTCTCAGAGCTGCGGCAGTTCAGCAGCTCACCCAGCGTCCCGGAGGACGGGTGCGCGGCGGGGCTGGGATGTGGGGCCAGAGCCTGAGCACTCAGCCACCACAGTACAGCGCTTCCCGGCTGGGCCTCGACTTCTCCCCACGAGTACCAAAGCCCAGAACAGAGCCAGAAGCTCTCATTGGCCCTCCCGGATTGCAGCACGGTTGCTTCTTGAGCTCCTCCCAGAGCACCCCTACCTCTGATGTTGACCACGATGCTGCTGACCTTGGACAGGCGACTGGACTCTACTTTGCACGTGTAGTTACCGATGTCCTCTACCGTGGCCATGACTGAGTAGACGGCCTCCCTGCTGTGTTTGCTGTGGGCCACAATTGCCTTGTCCTTCTGGATTAGGATTTCTGGGGTCTCGTGGGCCAGGTGCGTCACTTGGATGGTACACCTGATGTGCAGCTGATCTCCTTCCGTGATGACCCCGGGGGGACTGACTTGGAACTTCGGAGTAGAGAAGGACGCTACGAGAAAAGAGGACAAGCCTGTTGGACTCAGCTTCAAACCTGGGCTCTTCCTACTCTCCTGCTCTCGCTTTTCCAACTCCTGTGTTTCCCAGTTAATTTTAAAAACTCAACCTTCCCTCTCAATTCCTCCCCTAGGTCGCTCTATTTCTCTTTTTCATTCCAGCTCATTTCTATATCTTCAGTCTTCTTGGTTTCAATGTTCAGGCTTTCTTGAGCTTGCCAGAGGCCAAATACCAGCTCTTGTCGGTGAACCTTGGAATTAACCATAGCAGATAGAAATGCTCTGGCTTGCTGCCTTTCTAGAGTGATCTTCTGCCATAACAGGAGCCTTCAAATTGCAGCAAGACTCTTGCATAGCTTTCAATAGTGGCACCTATGTAGACTATGCTGCCTCATAGAAATACATTATTTGAATAACCACATGCCAAAAAAGCAGATTCTAGTCTATTCTACTTAATTTTTTGTTTGTTTGATTTTTTCGAGACAGGTTCTCGCTATGCAGTTCAGGCTGGCTTTGAATTCACTACGTAGCCCACGCTGGTCTCGAACTTGCAGCGATTCTTCTGCCTCAGCCTCCCGAGGGCCCCAGGATTTAGGCACCACCACCATGCCTAGCAAAATGTATCACAGCCCAGAAAGTTTGAAAACTACTGCCAAAATGATTAAGAAGATACTTTAAGTCCTGAGGACAGCTGTCAATCCTTTCCAATTCTGGGCTCTCTCTCTTATGGCCAACCAGAACCCGCAAAGAATGATGAAAAGTAGAGCAGGGCTCTGACCTGTCACAGTGACCATCTCTTCACTCCTGGTGGTTTCTGAGGTCTCAATTTGGAACCCCAGAGAAATACTGGCTTGACAGGTGAAATACAAAACATAGTCCTGTTCTTCGATAGGGAATTCCAAAGTCACAAAATTCTGTTCCCAAGAAGTCTTCTCTTTTTTGAGCTTGAAAATCTTTGAATCTTGCTCAAACTTTTCAACTTTGAAATGTATCGGGGCCCTTTCCTCCGGGACGGAACAATTGACAGTCACAACCCCGCCTTCTATCGCCTCCTTCTTGTCCAGTGTGATCCTGGGACGTGGCACCCCTTTGGAGAAGGAGAAAGTCCAGTTAGTACCAGTTGGATCTACTGGCACGAGCCTCCCTCAGCTGTCACTGTGGCTGAGCCATCTGAGGATTCTTTTTTCTCAACACCTGAGTACAACTCCCTCCTTGTACCACAGATAAGTACATGCCAGATACTTTGAAAAACACAAGATAAGCTCCCAGTCTGGTTGGTGCTTTCTATGGTTTATAATTCCTCTGGGACAATGGTACAATCAGATTCCCAACTGACACAGTTTAGAGAGAGAGAGAGTGAGAGAGCCAATATTCATTAGGATTACAATAATTATGGTAACGTATTGAATGCCAACCATAGGCTAAGGTTGACGTCAATGTGTTCTATCGATATTATCGAGCACCTACTAGGAGCCAGATTCTCTGCTCAGGACATAAAAATAGGTCAGACACTATCTCTCTTTACTATTCAGTCTAGAGGAGTGGACAGATATAGGAGAAGTTCATCTGTGCCTTATGGCAGAGGCAAATTCTGGCCACTGCTAGGTGACGCACTGTGGGAACACAGTATATTTACCCCGAGATGGCCCTCACATCACTAGGCGGCACAGTATTCCGGGACCCCATCACAGTGCAGCCCGTCACCGACTAAGACAGTACCACAGGGCATGTGGCTGGCACTGCAGGTCACCACGTCCCTGCCTGGATACTCAGCACCCCACCTGTGTGATACCTCTTGGACCACTGAGTAGTTAAAGGACTTAGCCAGGTAGAAGCCTAGGCAGAGAGACTGCAGAATCCAGTGTTGGAACAAAGCCCTGAGGCTTTTTTTTGCCTTTTGACAAATAAATCCCACTGAGGGCGGAGAGAAGGTGAGTTCTGAGGTTTTCCCTAAGGGAGACCAATTTTGCTGAGAAGGTGTCGGAGAAGAAAAGCGGGAAGGGAATCACGGAGTTCAGTTTTGAAGAAGAAAGTGAAGTTGTATGTGTGCTTGGTTTGCTTGTTTGTGGTACTGGAGTTTGAACCAAGGCCCTTCACACTGAAGTACCTCTTGAGCTCTGTTTCATTTGTTTTTTATTTTGAGATAAGGTCTCACTAAGTCACTAAATGGCCCAGCTTGAGCTCAAACTTGGCAGTCTTCCTGCATCAGCCTCCCAGAGGGCTGGGATTGCAGGCATATCCTACAACACCCAGCTAACAAGCATAGTTCTTGAGACAAGATAAAGAAGGATAACTGGGTGTGGTGGCTCACGCCTGTAATCCCAGCACTCAGGAGGCTGAGGCAGGAGGGGCGCCAAGAGTTCAATGCCAGCCTGGGTTACACAGTGAGTTCAAGGCCAGCCTGCATTGCATAGAGAGACCCCGTCTTAAGAAAACCCAAAAACAAGTAAGTAAATAAATGTAAAAGAAGGGTATTCCCAGGAGAAGGAACAGCATGTGCAAAGAAGAGGGAGTCACAAAGAGCCCGGCGCACTGGAAACAGGCTTAACGCCCGCATTTTCAGGCTAGGAAAATGGCAACGGCTGCACGGACAGATGGTCACAATTACTGTTGCTGCTCCGTGCGCCCCTCCACCTGCTTCCCTGCGCCCAGATCCCCCCGACTCACCTTTCACCCATAACTGGTACTCTGGAGTGGTCTTCTTCTTCTTGTTGTTCAGAATCACAGTGCATTTGTACGTGCCCGAGTCGTGGACCCGGGCTTGAGGGATAAGAAAGCTCTCCGTGTTCTTCACGGAGGAGACGTTGTACAAGAGCACATCGTCCTTGTAGAACACCACCTGGTACCGAGGCTTGACGTGCGAGGTGGTGCTGACGTCCACGACGCACTGCAGGTTCAGGTTCTGCCCGTTCTGCACGGTCCAGTCTGGCAGGCTCTGCATATGGATGGTGTTGACGGTGAAAGCTGGGGCAGACGGGAAGGGGGAAACCATCAGACGCGGCACCCGCCACACCCTGGCATCTATCACATCCTAGCCCGGGCCCCAAATCCCCCAGAGGCCAGGCAGCTCACGACTGCAGGTAGTGGCTTAGATTCGATAGGGTACTGAGCCAGCCCTATTCGCACCGGCATCAGGTGGCAACGCAGGACAAACGCAAGACTGCGGTCTGCGAGCTGCTGTCATGGCCCTGCGGGAAGCAGAAGTTCCACTCAGACCGATGTCCAGGTCCTGGGACCGAACCCAGGACCTTGCGTCGCCAGGCAGGTGCGGCACCACTGAGCTACATCGCCGGCCCCAGTAGTTAACCTCTCTGAACTCAGTCTCCTCGTCTCTAAAACGGGAGAATAATAGATTTACAGAGGAACAGCCCAGAAGCACCAAGTACAGCTCCAGGTACACAGAGAGTGCCTAATAAAAAGCACCTACCTCTTTTGTGAAGCCAGAGGGTCAGGCCCAAGAACTTTTCTCCCCTATCCTAGGCTGCCTGAATTACTGAAATAGCCCAGCATGGGCTGCCATCTTCCTCCTCTTTCTGTCTCTCTCTCTCTCTCTCTGTTTCTCCCTTCCTTCCAAAGCTTTTAAATTTAAGAGCTTTATTAATAGGCGCTGGCAGTTTGTAGACTTTTTTAAAAAGTAAAAACAGTCAAGTTGTGAATTTATAAATTAGAAGTTCTTAAAAATCTCAACCAGGGCCAGGGATTTAGCTCATTGGTGCCACTGCCTGCCTTGTAAGCACAAGGTCCTGAGTTCGATACCTGGTACCCCAAAAAACAAAAACAATCTCAACCAGCTATTAAACAATTTTAAAACCTTTCATGTGTATTGAAGACTGGGTGTATGGCCCAGCGATAGAGTACTTGCTTAGCATGTGTGAGGCTTGGCTCCATTCCCAACACACACACACACACACACACACACACACACACACACACACACACA